CCTTGGAGGTAGGACCTACTCTAAATTCAGGATGATTTAATTTCAGGATCCTTAACTTAATTACTTCTGCAAAAAACGTATTTCTAAGTAAAGTCATGTCCACAATATGAAGGGTTAGGACTTAAATATATCTTTGGGGAATACTGTTTAATCCACTGCAGAGCATTAATTTTCAATTAAACTGTTCATAGTTCAAAAATAGTAAGTTTCTTACTTGAACATCATAATCTACAAAGATTGCCTTATATCTACAGATGTTAACATTGCAAAAATTGTGAAGATAAAGTTGTTAGGGAGTCAGCCATTTATAAGAAAGGCTTTAAGGTTTGTTTATTTTGGATATTTGAACTAAACAATAGCTTTTGTTTTTGTTTATCTTGGGTGGTCTTTCCTCCTCTCTGACTGTGGGATGTGATTCACCTGTGTTCTTTTAATAGTAGAAGAGCAAGGTGTCAGTTTGTTTGCACCTTTGTGGATAATTATAACATTCTGTACTTAATGAATTGAAGAAGAAAAAAACCACTTTACAGAAATCGGATGGGAAACTTAACTATTCATGAGAAATACAAGTTTAGAACTCTTTAGTTTGCAAGTGACAGAAACTTGACTCACATCAGTGTAGGACTGGGGTGGAACTCGGTTGGCTTTTAGAAGTGGGAATACACTTCACATCAGACAGTTCCATCTGGACTTTCTCTTGTTCTTTCTTGTTGATATTCTTGGCTCAATTTGATTTCCTACTTAGGTAGGCTTTTTTCAGGCTTTTAATTGTAGAGTGCTGCAACTCTGATAAGTCTGTCCAAACCACTCTAATCCTTACAGCTTTTGATCCTATGAGCCCTGACCACACAGTTTCAGAAATTACTTGGATTGGCCCTGCTAGAATCATGAATCCATCCCAGACCAATCGTTTTGTCCAGGAGCATGGAATACTCTGACTGCGCAACTTAGTTTACTTACTGATCCCTGCATCTGGGAAGCCAGACCATACAATTACTAGTTCCTTGAAGTATTCCAGGGAACTCTGGTGGTGCAGTGGTTAAAGCATTCATCTGCTACTCAAGTGGTTGGTAGTTCGAACCCACTAGCTGCTCCAAAGGGAGAAAGATAAGTCAGTCTGCTTCTGTAAAATTTATAGCCTTGAAAACCCTATGGGGCAGTTGTACTCTGTCCTGTAAGGTGGCTGTGAGTCAGAATCAACCTGATGGCAGTGTGTTTGGGTTTGGGTTTGGTATCACATGAGTCCCTAAAAAGAAAAAAAGATGGTGTCCATTACCAAAATAAATAGGGATTCTGTGCAGGTTAATAGAAAGCATACAGTATTAAATATCGCAAATAAATCTGGTAAGATTATTTTGATACAATGGGAATTCTCGTATGATTTTGTGTGTACCTCTCTCAATATTTATGTGGTGATCATAGAAGACTGCTAGTATTTTGGTAGGAGCTCTGGTAGCATAGTGGCTAAAGCACTTGACTGCTAACCAGAAGACTGGCGGTTCAAACCCACCAGCCACTCCTCGGAAGGAAGGTTGGGCAATCCTACTTCCGTAGTGATACTGCCTCGGAAACCCAAGGAGGGATCACTATGAGTCGGGGCTGACTCGACGGCACATAACAACAACAACAAAAGTATTTTGGTATCAGAGCATTTATGGATGCTGATATGTAACTGGGTGGGCTGAGAATGTGCTTAGGACAGGTGTGGTTGTCAAGTAATGACTTTGAAGGAGGGTGCAACAAAACTGGCAAATTGGTGGGTAATTTAAGGAGGGGCAAATGAAGAGTACTCAGTGGCAGGTATAAGGTGGCAAACAATAATTGCCTGCTTTTGGGAGCTCTGGTGGCGTAGTGCCTAAGGCATTTGACTGCTAACTAGAAAGCTAGAGATTCAAACCCACCAGCTACTCCTCGGAAGAAGGTTGGGCAATCTACTTCTGCAGTTGATACCACCTCGGAAACCCAAGGAGGGGTTGCTATGAGTTGGATTCAACTTGATGGCAAACACAACAACAAGAACCATTTGAGCCATATCATGGAAAACAAGGTAGTTAGGCTAGGGTAGCAGTTGGTAGGCCCTTTTAAAGCCCATTTAATTTAGCTCTGATGACTTAGTCCTCAAAGCTATAGTGCATTTGAGCAGGAACATTGGAAGGAATAAAGCAGCCATGTACGTGTCCAGTTTAAAACTTTGTGAAGAGTTTGTCCTCCTGGTGTAGAATTATATTTTGATGTGAGAAACAGCTTCCAATCGATACATCCACATTTTTAGATGAATTTTATTATTTAATATAAATATAAGTGGATACTCAACTCTTCTTTAATGTTAATGGTATCTTGTTAGTTTTGGTCTGTTGTTTTGGTTTCATAAAATATTTCATAATTTTATCTCAACTTGTCCAAGAGTGAATAGTTGGTTTTCATCTGTGCTGTGAGCCATCTGGCGCATAGTGTCATTAATATTAATTATGATTTTTCCCTAGTCAGCCAGATTTGAAAGCATCTGTCCCCATTAGAAAGAGAAGGGGGAGAATCAATCTGCCATGTGGAGCAAGAGGCTTTGTAAATGAAACTTTTACTGTTGAGCATTTGAAAATTAAACTTTTAAAAGTTGAAAGGTGGTGCACATTTTCAAAGTTCCTGAAATTTACTTGGATTGACAGCTTTCTGGTTAGCTGACTTGTCAAAATGTATTTGCGTATTTTATAATTTTCGCCCTCACCAAGTGGACTCTCTCTGACTAGCTGCTTTACCATTTAGTAGCAGTGTATGGATTGTGGGGAAGTTGTTTACCAGCTCTAATCAGGAGTTTCCCCATTTATAAACTTGCAGATAATATTACCTACTTCCCAAAGTGGTTGAGAGGATGACATGGTGTGCCCCAGGCTCAGTGACTAGTGCTTGGCCTCAGCACTGCCCCCCATTCCATGTGGGTATCAGTTATTCCCAACAAGGCAGTAGCTCACAGGTAATTCAATGCAATTTTAACTGATATAAAAATAAATCAGCACATTAGTCAATTGAATCGAATTTGAAATTTGTTTTGTAATGTTAAGTTAGAACTTTTAAAAGGCAACCACCTGAATAGAATGTTTCATTGGCTCAGATGATCTGAATTTTGTTTGCTTTTCTCCTGGTAGCTGAGATCCCCTTGTGGATACAGGGTCTAATTTATTTGTTCAGCTACTTAGGAAGTACCAGCAGGAGTGGCCATTATTTCACAGACGGTAAAGAAAGGCAGATGGGTGAAGTGGCTGGTTGAGTTGAACAGTGATGTAGGTTGTAAAATGAATGTGCAAAAGAGAGCTTTAAAAAGAAAAAAAAAAATGTTACTTATAATTCTGTTGAGACATCTACCTTTTAAACCATTTCCTTAAGTATCCTTCTTTAGATAAGGTGAATTTACTCTTCCAGAAGAGAATACTTGAGCATAAAATTGAGTGCCCGGAAGGGCTTACTGTGTATGATTTTCTATTATTGGGAAATAACTGTAGAGAATTGCCTTTAATTTTGGTTCTGGTTCTCCTGGTTCATTATTACTTATTACTTCAGAAGTTGTTTTCAAGGGGGAAGAACTCTTTCAGCAGATTATATTTCTCATGAAAGGAAATAGAAATCTTTTTAAAAACTATACTTAACTGAAAAAGAGTGGTTTTCTTTTTCTTTTTGTACTTAAGATACTTTTTTTCTTGGATAAACATCAATTTTGTTTTGAAATGGCTAGCCCATTTAATATTTCTGGCTTCAAAAAGAGAAAAGCTAGTGTTATAACAACTTTCTGTGGTTTGGCTGAGGTATAGCTATTTTTTTATACCTTGTTTTATGTGGTGTATGCACACGCGAGAGAATAAAAGGATAAGGTGTGAAAGACTTTACTTCCTTGAAGGCAGATGCTGTCTTCATCCTAATGTTGACAGTGCATAGAAAAGGGTCTAGAAAACTGGAGAAAATGCTTTAGCTGTAGCACTGGAAGTCTGATATCACTGTATTGAAAAAAAAAAAAAAAGTGCTGCTATAAATATTTATAAAAGGTTGTTGTGTGCTTTTGTGTAAATTCCCACTCATAGTGACCCTATAAAACAGTAGAAGTGCCCCATATGGTTTACCAGACTATGCTCTTTGAAGGAGCAGTTCACTAAATCTTTTCTCTTGAGCTGATAACAAAAACCAAATCCAAGTTATCGAGTCAGTTCCGACTCATAGTGAACACTATAGGACAGAGTAGAACTGACCCCATAGAGTTTCCAAGGCTGCAATCTTTACGCAAGCAGACTGCCTCATCATTCTGTCACGTAGCAGCTGATGGATGGGTTCTAACCACTGACCTTTTGGTCAGCAGCCCAATGCCTTAACCACAGCACCACCAGAGGTCCTTATGAAATGATAAGGAACATGCTATGTGTGAGGTAAGACCATCTGTAGCTCAGGTTAAAAAAAAAAAAAAAAAAAATTGAAAGTAGGGGTCATTTTCCTCCCAAAGCTTTCTCTCTCTCTCTCTTTTTTCCCCCCTCTTACTTTGTCACTAATTCTGCTTAGCCGGCCCTTCTTTTCTGCCACCTATTTAGATTTTTCATAACTGTCAGTTTAACATTTTTATTATTGGAGCTTGAAAGCAAATATAGCATGTTACGTGATTTGCATGCTCTTTTTGCAGACACAGATAATGTACAAGTGGATAGAGCCCAAAATCTGCCGGGAAGACCTCATAGATGCTATTAGGTTGCCCCCTTCTGGAGAGAAGAGGGATTGTCCACCTTGCAATCCTGGATTTTTTAACAATGGATCATCTTCCTGCCATCCCTGTCCTCCTGGAATGTTTTCAGATGGAACAAAGGGTAGGAAGTCAATAGATCCAATAATTAGACCTTTAGAAAAATAATCTTGTTTTAATACACTGACCTTGTCTTAAATTGTTTGTATAGAATCATTCTTTAAAATGCACAGCTTCTTATAGAGACTGAAGAAGAATTGAGAAAAAATGATAATGGACTTGTGAGATACTAATGGCTTATTGAACATATCATGAGGGTAGCTTTTCATTAGCATGTATTGTTAATAGCCTCTTAATGACTTTTTATCTTTGGAGATTGATAAGAAAATTCTAACAATATTAAGCATTCTTCTTCCAGTGTGTGTGTAATATATATATATGTGTGTGTGTGTATTTATGTAAGTATAAAAAAGTCATTTATTCTAATTAAGCTTTGGAGTAATAGATCAGAGTTTATGTCGCAGTAAAAGCTCGAATTGCTCATTTTGAACATACGGAATTTAAAATAGTCCCTAAGTAGACTGTTAAAATTATACAGTGATTACAGAATTTGTTTTAATTGTGGATAAAAATTGCAGTCCATTTGTAGTGTAGGTACCTGTCTAACTTTAATAGGACTATATACTTAATAACCAGAGTCTTTGGGATATAGCATAAAAAAAGACTCTGGAGTCAAATTAGTTTGGGTTTGGATCCATGTCCTGTTTGCTGCTAATAATGTCACCCCTTATTTTAAGTCTTTGAGCTTCAATTTTATCATGTCAACCGAGACTAATAATATTTAGCTCATCCTCATTAAAACCAAAAAACCAAACTCATCGCTGTCGAGTCGGATCCTACTCATAGCATCCTCTTTAGGCGTATTAAATAAAATGTCTGCTCACTCCTTTGGAATCAGGAAGTGCTTGTTCAATGAATTTCCCTATATTGAAAAGTGGTTGGAAAAGAGCCTCTAGTTCAATGTTGCAGATAATAATTTAAATCAAGCTTCTGTATGAACTTTAAACTTTAAAGTCACCAAACTCCTCAACTTTCTGAACTATTTCTCAACATAGTCAATATTTGAACTTCAAGTAATTAGTCCATAATTAAGTGGTATTACTATTACATGAAGTTTAATAACCAGCAAGGAGGGTGAGATATTTCCTGTTTGTAAGGTGGAGAGAAGTGATTCTAAGATTACATACAAGAAAACTTGAACTTAATTTAGATTTACTGTTCTTGTGGAGATGAATTCAGAATTAGCAATTACTTCCAGAAATAAAGGGAAACATTTATTTTAAAGGATACTGTATCTGTTCTTTTTATTTCCCCACATTGGTCAATTATATATAGGTATACTAGATCCAGGATTTTTTTCTTTCTAGTTTGCTTTTGAGAAAGTTATCTATTCTTAAGGCAATTGATGACCCAGTATCTCTCTTTCCCATGACAATCTTTGCAAATTAAAAGCATTGAGCAATGCATGGTATAGAGCAAGAAGAAGTTGTCCGGATGCAGTTTAATTGTAAACATTAGTTGCCTTGTTTCCTGCAGAATGTAGACTGTGTCCAGCAGGAACGGAGCCTGCACTCGGATTTGAATATAAATGGTGGAATGTCCTTCCTGGCAACATGAAAACTTCCTGCTTCAATGTTGGAAATTCAAAGTGCGATGGGATGAATGGTGAGTTCAGAATCAGCCGACTCTGTACATTTTGGCAGCAGAGACGATCACTGTTGGACTCAGCCCTCTGAAAACCAGGACTTCAAAAATGGTTCTTCCTGGCTAGTCATGGCTGATGAAGTGAAAGTGGAATGGACACAAGTTTGTAAAATGTGGGCAGAGAGGAATGATAACCAGAATGGGAAAAAATTACAGATCAATGCCCTACTAGAAACCTAATCTCTTTCTTTTAAGACAAAGACTGTGTGCATTGCATGGCAACCAACAGAGTTGGGAACAACACTGCCCTGCTCAAAGATGGCAGAAACCAGGCTAATTTGAATTTATGTTGCTATCCACAGTTCTGGTAGTCATTCAGTCTCCTGCATCAGGCTCCTGAAAGGGCTCCCAATGCCTCTTTCAAGTCTCCAATTCCAAGGCTTTTTTTTTTTTTTTT